TTTTTCACAACTAGATTTGTTTCCCAAGAACATTAGCTAATGTTCAATGGAAAATGTTGAAGGAAATAACTTTTCTTTTCTATATTTTTCCAAGTGCTTACCCTACTTTTTCTTGTTTGCTACAATTTAGTCAAGGTTTTCCTACACTTTTCCTAGATTTTTTTTGCTTTGTTTGATAATTCCTGAAAAATACCAACCATACAAGGCAGCTACACATGCATGAGGCAAGTACTTGCACCTGTAAATCCTGGTATGTGCGTGTGTGTGTGCTGGATACACCTGCTATCCTATCCGTGTTTAATAGACCAGCATCGAACACTTTATTATCGGAGACTGTCAGGCACTTTACTCCTTGGAAAAGCTTCAATCTTTCGAGAGCTTCACATATTTCCTTCGTTTTTTGCCATTTTCTCTAACGGTATAAGTACACTGATCGAAATGTGAACCAAGAAACCATAAAATGTTGAGTTTATAATGCATTTTTTATATTATAAATATATTTTGTTGCTGAATCTGCTTTTATCAGGATAATTATGATACCTTTATTAGAAGATTTACTTAAATCTCCAAAACACAATGTTTTTACTCAAAAATGTCAAAATATTTCATCAAAAATTTAAATAATTATTTAAAAACTCTAGAAATATATCCTATCCTTCCGTTTAATCGACTTTTCCTAGGAAAGGGTTATCTAATTCTGGCTAATTTCTTCGAGTGCACGCTTTCCCCTCCCATCCTGACGGTTGAAGGATGTTGCAGGCTGCACGTAGCTGCAATTTGCGGAAACACTTGCGAGTATTTCGTGAAGAAATCCGTAAAAACGTACGCACAGAAATATCCAATGAAACGGCATTTAAGCAGCATATGGCCAGGACCTGCGTATGTATTTGTGCGTGTTCCTTGGGCAAATTTACACACAAATCCACCAGGCGTACAAATTTATTATCCTGCGTTGATAGTGATAAAATTTATAACCGGCATTGAGTACAGCGCCTAAAAGCAGGCAATACAAACACAAACACAAACATGCCCGCACATGCAGAGACAGACAACAATGCCCAAGTGGGCCACACTCACACACAAACATACATTTCAAGCACACACAGGCAATTGTGCGTGGGCGAAGAGGACATTCTCTCTCTCCCTCTCCCTCTGCCTCTCCCTCTCCATCCCACTCACTCTCGCTCTGCACACTCGTCATATTTATGCTTTTTTATGGGCCATGTACAATTTTATTGTTTTACTTTTCAATGCAATGTCTGTGGGGGGGGTCTGCTACACACACAGGGACATGGTTACACTATATACATGTATATACAATATAGGTAAGCTCACACTCGGAGTCAAGATACTAGTACTTATTATCAGAAACTCTAGGATTTTGAAAAGAAATTTTAAATTTAAAATAAAAAATCAGTTTGGTGAATGCCAAAAAACTAGCATTATTTTGAAGCAAAAATAATATTTTAAAAATAAAATAATACTATATAAATAGTAATAATTATTATTATAATAAAATAATATAATACAAATACTAGAGCCCCACTAGAGATCGCACAGAAATTGTTATGGTTTTAAGTACCTTTTAAAATTACGTCCATAAAAATCATATTTCACTTTTTCAGTTATTTTGTATGCTTTCCATATATCAAATATTCTTAATCCTCTTATTTTTTGGGTATATATTTTTCAACTCCACTGTAAGAAAGGTGCGATGATGTGGGATGAGGGTTAAGGCCAGAATACATGTGTAACCGAGGACCCGAACACCGTTTCGCTGGCAGAACAAAGGCATCGAAACAGGTAGAAAAAATGCCAGTTATTCGTTGTATTTCATCTTCAAGATATGCAGAAAAGCGTTACGTTCTGTATTACAAAATCGGCTAAAAAAAACATACTTCTTAATTTATACATTTAAATAGATAATAATTTAATAATAATAATAATAATATATGTATTTTGTCTGTTGTATTTAGGAACTTTCAAACGCTTTTCTTACATATTCTTTTAATAATATAAGAATTATTTAAAGAAACTCTATTAAAGTTAGTTTATGAGATCCTGTAAGCTAATTTTAAATATTTATAATGTTTAACCCCATTTCTAGAACTATGTTTTCCGAGTTGTATAATATTTTTAAATTTGAATTTCAAGTTTATGAGACTTGAACATTCCTTTCTACCTCCATTCTGTTCTTCTTTATTTAAACAAATAACAACGAAAGAAGGGGTAAATAACACAAAAGTTTTAGCAAATAAAACCTTAAAGTGGATGGCAAGTATGTCCTCCCTTCGACGACTTCTTCTTCGTCCTTCCCACACACTTGTGGCTCGCTCTTGTCAACACATATGCACATGTCCATGATGGCCATATTGTAATGTGGCGACGCCTTCGCCTTCACAGCCAGGTGTCCTTACACATATCTGCCCCCAGATTCCTTACCATTTGTCCTTGGGCTCTCCTCCCCCTTGGCAAGTGACCATAGATTTCTCTTTGTGTAGTTCATCCTCTGCCTGATGCAAATCCTATAAATAATCCCACCATGCAGCGTCATCCGCACAAGAAGACAAAATAAAAGAATCAAAAAATAAAGAAAAGAAAGAAAAGAGTGGGGCAAAATCCTAAAAGGGTTTCTTGCCGATGAAATCCTGCATAAGGATGCCACTTCCGCTGCACTGGACAAAATATTTATTTTTCTTTACCAAAATATGGCTTACTTTGCACTTACAATAATTTTATATATTCCATTTTTAAGGAATATAATGATATTCTTTAATGTAAAAAGTAAACAAATCTTTAGGTATATATTATTTAGTTAAATTATTTGTTTATTCCGGTGTGATTGTCTGACAGCTTCTCTGGATGATTGATTCGCATTTGCTTGGCAATGGTAATGATGTCCCGATGTCGTTGGCACCTATGCTAATGTTCATGGTGATTTCCATTGCGAAAGCTTAGTAAAGTAGCACCATTATTCAGAAAATGTGTCGATTTCAAAGGTAAAGATACTTTGGGCAATCACAGGGTACCACAGAGTGGCAGCTGCTTTAAGCTTATATCTCAAATTTGGTCCTGACTTTGGCAAAACTTTAAATTTGTACTTGAAAACAAATCTGAAATGTAGAATATTATTCTTATTATTATTTTATTATTTTTCACTTGACTTAAGATCAAATAGTTAGCTAATTTATATAAGACTAAGTAAATTGAGCCTCTAAAAGAGCATTTTCCATTTTAATAATGTTTATTCTCCATTTTAAAGATTAGTATTCTTTTTCTATAATAACTAATCAGAGAAATTAATAATAGTTAAAAAATTAATGTTAATTAAGTTAAGGATTCATGTATTATAAATAGAACGCAAACCAAATAAAACCCAAACCAATCTGCCCTATGCAAAGTACTCCCTGGAAAGTATCCTCCCTTCCTTTTGAGCTGCCAGGACTTGCACTGATTTCTGCTTGCCGACATTAAAATTGTATTTGTATAGGCTGGCAAATGATGCAAATAAAGGAAAGGAAGGCAAAACAGATATAATGAAGGCTGGGCGAGGACACCGATTCCAGAAAAGGACCTTGGACAAAGGCTCTGTCCGGTCTGGTCCTTTGTAACCGGATATATTCATGTGCCAAAACAGGATGTCCCATCTACCTCTCTTCTACCTCTGCTGTGCATTGAATTTTAAATTAATTGCCATAGTTAAAGGGCAGCAGCAACTGTACGGGATTTCCCTGGCAACTGCAAAACCCAAATTCCAACATTCCCATATGGCAATCATTTATGCACTTAATAACCCAAGGTCTGAGTAGGAAGGGAGGCCTAAGCCCACCCTCAGGCGACTTTAATTGGATCATAAGACAAAAGCCTTGCCGAGTTTCTCTGTAGCTCTAAGTCTGCGATGCTGTTTCTTTTAATTGCAAATAAAATTCAATGCAATTAAAATTATGCCACCGATTTATTAGAAATGAGCAATGATTTCAATGGTCTCTAAACTCGTTAATTTCTCAATTAAAAGAGTGGGGAAAATCTCTTGAAATCATTTCTGTTGCTTTGCCAAGAAGTCACTGCATTTGGGAGTAATTAAAACATTACACAGTCGAGGAATTTCAATTAGTTACTTAACTCTTGGGAAATTGCTTAGATAATAAAGAGAATTTAAGTATTTTTGAAATGGTTTTATTAGAAACTAAACCTGAGAATCAAAGAAGAATCATATAATCAAAGGGTGCAATATATAAAGAATATTTATAATTTAAGACACATTGTGGTATACTGTTTAAACTTTCCACACTCTGCTCTTAAATAAGGCTCACATTACGTATACGCCACGTGCACACGCACTTGAAATGCATCAATTACAGGCTAAACAAAGGAGGCCAAGAAGGAGCATTCAGGAGCAAGGAAGTAGGGCGGACGATGCCAGAGGCATTAGGGTGACATTAAAGTTCAATAAAAGTGAATTTATGCGAGTGAACAGGAAATCCTGTCTAGGAAACACTGGCAACACGTGCTTGCCTGATTATTTGTTTATGTGTAATATCCCTCAGCCAAGGCCTCTTTCTTTCTTCTTTTGCTGGCCTTAAATAACAGGAGTTTTTTTGTGCTTGAAGAGGCTCTCGCCCATAAATTATGCTACTCTTTATTATTTTGTTAAACAAAAACTGAAACACTTTCGACTTTAATGGTGGGGAAAAAGTTAATGTCCCAACAAAAATTCTGGCTCCCCTTTTGGACCCTTTTTTTTTGAAGCACTCCTTGTGTGGTTAAACAAAAAGCTGGATAACCACAGGACTAGTGGTTTTTTAGTCGCGTTTCTCTTTCTTTTTTTTTTTTTTTTTGTAATTTATTCTTTTTAACCAGGCCTGGAGTTGGTAATGTGCTTAATTTAAAACAAAAATAGGGAAAACCTCTTTTAGATTACTAAAGAAACTAAAAAGAAACCTATAATCTAAGATGTTTATCTGGTGACCCTTGAAATTAGCGTTCTAAACTTGATAGTTCGTTAATAGTCTCACCATTCCAAATAAACATTTTCAACTCTGTTACAGTAACGACAAATATACATTTTAAATTTAGGAAAAATTGAAATTTTAAATTTAGAAAAACCTTTTTTTTTTTTTTTGAACCAAAATGAGCGAGGAAAATCGTAGTGCAAGAGGTAAGCTCTTTCAGCTGGAAAATGTGCGCCATAAAATACTTTTTTTCTTACATTTCTATTCGTTTTAAGATACCACGACGTTGCTTTTCAATAAATTAGAAGAAAAGGTTCGCGAAATGCAGCTAAATTTTGAACAGATAAAGCTCAGCCTCGACGATGCATCCGAGTCGTTGAGGAAGGTTTTCGAGTGGGAGGCAAGCCTGGATTTCGAAATGGCTAATATCGAGACTGAGGTGGCAAGCCCTGGCACTGTTCACCTGGATTCCGAAAGAGCTAATATCGAGACTGAGGTTGCGAGCCCTGGCACTTTTCGCAATTCGTTGATACCGATTCGTGTCTCTGAAGAAACACCAATACCCATATGGACCCCCAGAAGAAAATGCCAAGCGGTATATCAAAGGACCAGGCGAAGGAGCTGCTGATCTTGCCACCGCTCCGAACTTGCCTCAGCATCTCATTAGATTTTGGAAGCTTCTGCGAAGTCCTTTGATGTCCCACACAAGGTCAAGAAAATATTATAATATTATATTATATTATACCACTTAAAAAAAAAAGAAACCATTAGTTCTACTGGAGGCAATCAAATTCGGCTGAAAATATTCCTCAAATTATTGAAGTATTCCAATTACGAATAAAAAAAAATAAAAATAAATAGATGCACTAGTTTGCTATGCAGAATTTCCCATTTCTGTTAACCTGAACTTCTTTCATTTTATCTTTAATTTGTTCCACTTTCACCTTAAATGATTGTTGACCTGAAAGTTTCTTTGGCATCAATCCATTGGCATCGCAGTTTCTTTTGGACCAAAAACATTTCGTTACAGCTTTTGACTGTGCTATGACCCCGCTTCAGTCAACTTATTTCTTCTTTTTCTACAATTTTATTTCTTCACTACCTTTGTCACGCTTCTTTTGTGAGCAGCGACATAAATTGTTGGCTAATTGCAAGTGGACAAGGAAAATGTATAAAAAAAAATCTATATGAAAACTGAGTGAGCAGCTCACACACAAAGAGAAACAGAGAATGTGGATAAGGCTAAGGCTAAGGGTCAGGGAAAGCTCCAAGACAGAGGGTCAAAAAGTGAAAGCAACAATGCCAGACTCCTGTTTTACCCGTATTCCCCTGTTTGACTTTTTTCCCTAAACTTGTACAGAGAGAACAAATATTTAATTTTAATTTAATTTAATTTAGAAACATAATGATTCAACTGGAAAGGGGGTAAGACTACCCCTTCTAATGTATAATAAAAATTAAAATACGTTTCCCTTTCCTAATTTAATGTATGCCTGTGATTGCTGAATAATTTTTCTCAGTGCACAGATAGCACCAGAGCAGCCAGTAGAGAAATCTAGCTGTTTGCTGCCTTTTGTCCGCGTAATTGAGGGAAAAGAAAAACTGGGAGGGCCAAAGCCAAGGGTGGAGGTTTTCCAGGGGACAAGGAAAAGCTTGAAGAAAGACCAAGGGAGGTTTGAAGAATAGAGGTAGCAAATGGGGGTCAAAGCAGTACAAGGCAGTAAGTAAAAGCGAGCATTGCCAAGGCAGCCAGATCCTTGATGTGAGGATTTCTCAGAGTTTCTAGCTCTGCTCATACATGATAGTTCCTATTCTAGCATTTATTATGTAATTTTTACCAGTATTTATTATATATTTTTTTCGATATCCTTGCAGTGGTTGTGGCCAACCAACAGATGCGCTCGACCACCAATTTGCTGATTATAAACCTGGCCGTCTCGGACATCCTGTTTGTCATCTTCTGCGTTCCGTTCACGGCCACCGACTACGTCCTGCCCGAGTGGCCCTTTGGCAATATTTGGTGCAAGTTCGTCCAGTACATGATTGTGGTCACCTGCCACTGCAGGTGAGCCAGCCTTGCATTACCTTATATTTATTGCCATACTCACCCCCACGAACTTGCAGTGTCTACACGCTGGTGCTGATGTCCTTTGATCGCTTCCTGGCCGTGGTCCATCCCGTGACGAGCATGTCCCTGCGAACCGAGCGCAATGCCACACTGTAAGTGCTCTTCACCTTTTACTTTTATGTTCAAAAATCTAAAAAATTTTAATAAGAAAATTATACAATTTAAAGCAAATCGATTTGTACATAAAAATAAAAAGAGAAAAGATTTCTTTTTACATATTCTTCTTACCCCTAAATAAGGCGTCATTATGTTCCCTCTTTTCCCTTAAATTAAACCAGAAATTGAACAATTTTTCTGCGAGTGCCTCAGCTCCTTCACATAAACTCCCCCATATCATCTAGAGGAATTGCATCAATTTGTCCTTTGTAATTAGCTTGGCTTTCATTGCGACCTGCAGGCCGTGTGCCGTGGCATGTGACCTTTGCCTTTGAGCCAAAAATAGCACATCAAGTCTTTAAGAAAATCTAACTTAAAGAAGGAGACAAAAGTTGCAGCCTCAAAAGAATTTGTCATAAAACTTCCTGACACATTTTTTAAGGTCATTTAAGGATAGCTTTTCAGAAATTAAGACCCACAAAAACTGTCAAGCAGTCTCCTTGAATTTTTCTCTTGTCCAAGTGCAAACTTTGACGGCAGCTTTCTTGATTAAAAAACTTGGCACGTTGCTCAAGAACTTTATACAAAAATAAATGAAAGGTAGAGCAGATTTATAAGAAATTCTTAGCAACAAAAGCAGAGGCTTTAATTAAGCTTCGAAAACCATACTGAACTCATTTTATTTTAGGGATTTAATATTGTTAAGAAAATTATATAAATACTAAATTGTAGTTTTAAATTTCTATTTCCTATTACATATGTAATATTTATCTGCAGGGCCATCATGTTTGCCTGGATAACAATCGTCACCACCGCCATTCCAGTGGCCCTCTCGCACTCGGTGCGCGACTATCAGTATCACGGCAGTGCCGGCACCGCCTGCGTCTTCTCCACAGATGAGGAGGTCTGGAGTCTGGTCGGCTTTCAGGTGAGTTTCAAGTCGACTGTGAGCTACCCAGTACTCAAAACAAAAAGCTGACCCGATATAAGCGAAGTTCAAAAGAGCGTTTGAAATGATTCTGATTTGCAAGAAGAGTCCTTGGTCCTGTCCCAGTTAATGAAAGCTAGTGCCATATTTCGCAGTTATTATTTCCCTATTTAGGGTGTGAGAACACAATTCCATCATCATTCTGTTCCCCATTTAGTAGTAGTAGATCAGCCTTATCAAAAATGCTTTTTCTGTTCCAAAAAGTCGCTCATATTTACCCCTATATTGCTGTGTTTATTACTTGAACTTTGGTCTATTAATCAAGTAAAGAGTCATTTCATGGCGGAAGGATGTGACACAGGAAGCCACAGTTGTTCCCAAAGTGGGTGGGGAGTGGGTGGAAATGAATAAGCATTGTCGTCTATTTCCATTTACCGAACAAATGAGGAACGTCCTGAGTAACCAAGACACTGAGAAAGTAAAACGACTTTAACTTTACATATCCCAATGATAATAAGTATCTTTTATGAATTATACAAGTTAATAAAACAAATAGTAAATAATAATTGTTAGGAAAGATATCCTAAAGATATAACGTCAATAGAAGTAGTTCTCTGGAGACAATAATGTTATTAACCCAGCTAGAAAATATATTTAAACAAATGGGGAAATTGGTGTAGGACTTTAAATTTTAAAAGTGCTTCCTAGAAATCACTCTATTTGCTCAGCGTGGCGAGTTGGATAACTAGCTGACAGACCGACTGAGTGAGTGACTCCCCCTGAGTCGTTCCTCGGCTAATTTTCAACCGTGAAGTTCGGTGGCACTCGGTAGTCGCCTCTATTCTCACTTTCCTGCTCCAATTCTCCCACTTTTCCCCACTTCCCATTCCCTTTCTCATAAATCACAATTGCTTTGGCAAACAGGAAAGGTGAGTCACAACTTAAGCGGAAGGACAAAGTGTGGAAGCTGTTTAAAGGACTTGTTCAGGACTAGTTCAGACTTAAATGGGAGCCATTTCTGAGACAATTGCCGTTATTTCTCATTTAAAATATATAATTTATAAATTTATAATGATTAAAGGTCAAATATATATATATATTTAACCTTGACTAGGAAAACGAGTAGAAATCGATCAAACTTGTGCCACGCATTATCCGTTCAATCATAGCGAAACACGGAACTAACGACCCAATGGTTGTCGTCGTAAAGAAGTCATAAAAACGAAACAAAGGGCGCTGAAAATGGGAAAGTAAAGAAGTATTTAAGCGACACAGCAGTGTCTATTATGCTATGTTTCCAGGAACAACGGCGACTACTTGAATTTTTTTAAAACAAGTTCATGTTCACCTTATGAACTTGAACTTCCGGCAAAACCTCTTTGCTCTCATCCACTTAATTAAAGCGCTTATTAAAAGTGTCCACTTTACCCCTCCAAATTCGAGTCAATTCACAATTTCAATCATTTTCTCACAAGGAGGAGGAGGCTAGGGGGTCCTCATCAAGCTGCCAACTCCTGCGGCAAGTTGATTCATTTCGCAGAGTGTCTGAGGAGACGCCGCGTTTATGGACAAATCCCAGGAGCAATTTTTCGGGTCAGGCGGAGTATTAAGTGTGTTCGCCTTGTGAAGGTCCTTCCCCCGTCATTTATCACATGGCACACACTTCAGTTTATGGCTTTTTATTAGCATCCGCATAAAGTTTAAACGCCGCAAAAAAATATAAAAGAAAACGAGAAGTTTCTCTTAAGTTGGGCCACTTTTGTTTATGACCAACCAATCCATTGTGCGTATCTATTGGCTCTGTGTACATTTTGTATCTTTCTATCCAGCCAACTTTAGATATTAGGATATGGCCCTTGTTTTGGTTATTGATATATTTTTCAAGAAACACATTTTTGTGCATTTACGATAATCATTGGGCGTGAAATTGACTTTTACTTTAGTTTTTCTTTAGCTAAAAAGCAGCTGAGATCGTATTGTTCCAAAGAGATGTTAAACTATTAAAAAAATTAATTAAAAATTTAAATATAAATATAATCAATAATAAAACTATCTCAAAATGTTTAATAAAATATTTCCGTATATTCATTGAAAATTCAACGTCCTTTTCATAAAATAGTTAATTTTCCCTTTTTAATAAAGCATTAAAATTTGTTTCGCTGAAATATTTCCCAATCATTAAGCCCAGATCTGAATGCGAAGCCCCGGGACTTCGATACGGACTCGGATTCGAATCCGATGAAGTGTCAGGGCGGATTATGTCACTCCTCCTCGACACGTTGTCCTGGCTTCAGTGTCGATAACGAACGACGTGTTCGTGGGCTTGGTTAATCCCAAGTATTCAGGAATTTATTCATTTTATTTATTTTTCAAGAAACACAAATGTAAATTAAATTCCGAGAAGTGTAAATAAATCATTGACAAAACTTTATAAATTTGTGAGCTTTATTATTAGTTTTAATTTGACAAATCAAAGTTTGTATTATGAATTAATTATTTCTTTCATTCCTTCAACTTTTTAATATTCTGTAGACATTTTTCTTATAATTTAAACCCATGTAGTCATGATTTTTCCCAGTGCACCTTTTCCGTTTCACTGCCCTTATTTGGCGGCTCAGAACTGATATATGTTCATATTATTTTGGCTTGCACCTTTGTGCATATTTGGCTCTGCCAAGAGTGTGCTTTATTGTTTTTATTGCCTGC